CTCCTTTCTCCAATCCATCCTTCGTACAGTTGCCAAATTGATATAATCAGCTTTTTAACAACCCTGAGGAATGGCCACACAATCAGATGAGAGAGAGAGCTGCTGCCTGCTGGCTGGTTGGTTTACCCAGCAATCCCTAAGTGGCCTGGGATTTAATTTAGGACAGAATTCATCAATCAACAAGCACTCATTAAGTACTTACTATGTGCTAGGAACTATGCAAAAAGTTGGGATAAAAAGAAAAAGTCCCCCAAGTCCCTGCCCCTCAAGGAGCTTCTATTCTAAGGGAGAGAGTAGATGGAAGGTAACTTGAGAGGGCATGGAAGTAGCATCTGGGGAGAAAAGCCTCTTAGAAGAAGAGGCCCTTGAGCTGAGTCTTAAAGGATACTAGGGATTCTAAGAGCCATGGGTTTTTGAGAGAGAATATCCCTAGCATGTCTAAAGATACAGAGACAGGAGCTGGACTTTTAAATGACAGACAAAAGACTTTATATTTGAACCTGAAGGCAATAAGGTACTACTGGATTTTGCTGAGTTAGGAGGTGGGGGGAGTAACATGGTCAGACCTATGCTTCAGCAAGGCTGCTTTGTCAGCTGTGTATAAAAGACATTTTGGAGTGGGGAGAGGCGTGAGGCCAGGAGACCAGTCAGGAGGCTATTGCAATAGTGCAGGCAAGAGATGAGGAGCCTGAGCTAGAGTGGTGCCTGTATAAGTGGAGAAATGAGGACTTACTCAAAATGTCATAGAGAGAAACCACAGGATTTGCCATCTGATTGGATATATGGGGTAATCAAAAGGAGTTGTAGATGATACCGAGGTTTAGAACCTATATGACTGGGAAGGTAACCTAAGAGAGTATGCCAGTAGCAGCTGGGGAGAAAAGTGTCCTGGAAGAGAGACAAGGAAGCACCTTCTTTGCACTTTCCCAAACTTCTTATGTTCTATTTCCCTCTACATTCTCTTGGATCCCACCAGCCTCAGTTTCTAATCCTCAAACATGGTACTCCTGCTCTTGTCTCTGTATCATCTTCATCTCAAGTGCCAGCTCTTCTAAGAGACCTTTCTCCCCAGCTGCTACTGCCATCCCCTCTATAGCAACAGCAAAGTATGGAAGAAGGGAGAGTCTGGAGGGACAGTTCTGTTTCCAACATGTTAAATTTGAGATGTCTATGGGACATGTAGGTCTAAATGTCCAATAGGAAATGGGTGATACAGAACTGCAGCTCAGGAGAAATTAGGACTAGGCATATTGATCTGAAAATGATTTGCACAGAGATAACAATTAAACCCATAGGGGGTGATGAGATCATCAGGTGGGAAAGTATAGGGAGAAAAAGAGTGCTCAGCACAGACCCTTGTAGTACCCATAGGTAGTATACCGGTAGAGCATGAATGAAGATCCAACAAAAGCGTGAGAAAGATTAGTCAGATAGGTGGGAGGAGAACTAAGGTTCTCTGTGATTTAGAAAGAGAAAGGATGTTAGCTCGCTTGTGGCCAAGGTGGTGTTGTCATGGCACTCTTGGAGTAAAGCCATCAGAGCTGAGAGCTGTTTTGGTGCGGTACGGAGGCAATGATCAGGAGGAGGGGATTGTGGAAGTGTTCCCACTGTGAACAATTGAATAGCCTGGGCCTGCATTACTGACCAAGGGTAAGCCAGGAGGCTGAAAGGATATCTCTCTTCTCTTTCCTTTCTTTCCTCCAGAGAAAAAGTGAATTTTTTCTTGTTGCTTGTCAATTTTCTTCTTGGTGTTTCTTATTCTCCCTCCCCAGCCATTTCAGTCAGAGTTGAGTTTTGATTTCCCTATTTAATTTTATGTTTATGCTAGCTAAACCGGCTGTTGCTTATAAAATAAACACCTGTTGGCTAACAAAAACTGGAGCTGCTGTTGTTATTATTGAACATACAGAGAGAAACTAAGAGATGAGGAAATATCTGTTTCAAAGACAGGAGACATTTTCTTGCTCAGCAAAGCTGAGCTGGAGGTGGAGCTACATGGAGAGGGGTGCTTCTATTATCTTCCATAAGTCTTGCAGAAGTATCCAAGAACAATTTAGAGTTACCAATAGATTCTTTCCTTTCCTTAACCCTGTGCTGTTGAGACAGGCTATGGTTTCCCTCTGAGAGGTTTGCAGAGGTAGGTTTCCTGCATGCACATATAAACCTAGTCCCTGGAAGGGAAAAGAGAATGAGAACTTCTGTAGGTGCCATTGGTCTGAGCTGGAGAGCTTCCTCCATTTGGTTACCATAGCAACACTACCATAGCAACATAGCGATGTTGTTAAGGCCCTGAGGCTTCTGGTACTTGGGGCTGGAGAGCCATGAACTCTCTCACAAGCTCTCCCTGGTGGTCATATTGATAACCCTAAAACAAAGGTTGAGCCATGTCCTTTTCCTGTTCAGGAAGTTCTGGGGCTCCCTAATGCTTCTATTTGCTTTTAAAGTCATTCACAATCTGGCTTCAGCCCATCTCTCTAGGCTTATTACATTTTACTCATCTTCATGGGCTCCAGGTTTTAGCCAAACCAACCCTACTTGCTGTTTCTCATGTATGACTATTCTATCTCCCATCTTTGTGTCTTGGCACCAACACTCCCCCATACCTGCAATGTCCTCCTTCCTCCCCTCCACCTCTTAGAATCCCTAGTTTGTTTGTTTGTTTCCCATGGTCAGTCCAAGTACCATCTCCTACAGAAAACCTACTGGGATCATCTCAATTGCTTTTGATCTCCCCACAGTACTTAACTTTGTAATGACTTTGTATTTATCTTGAATTTTCTTTTCTGTGTACTTCTTAGTTCACCTGAAATGAATATAAGTTCCTTGAGGGCAGGGACTGTTTTATTTTGTCTTTGTATCTCTGGGACTAGACACATAGCAAGCATTGAATAAATGCACGTTAAATGAATGGATGAATGAAGGGAATTCCACCTCAGAATCAGAGAATGTTAGAGTTTTAATCTAGAGCTTAGTGGGAGATTATCTAAAGCAATCTTCTCATTTTGTAGATGAAGAAACTGAGGTCCATAAAAAGGAAGCAATTTTTCCAAGGTTGCACAATTCATCAACTCAATTAAATTCAGAAACTTATGTGCCTATGAGGAAGCCACTATGTTGGGCACTGGAGATACAAAGACAAAAAGAACCACTCCCTTCGCTAAACATATTAACATTTTACTGGGGGGGGTGGGTTATGTGGAGGAGATAAAACATTTATACAAGTAAATTAATTTGGAATATATCCAAAGTAATTTCAAGAATAAAAGAACTAATGGGAAGGGCATCAGGTTAAGACTCACTTAGTAGGTAACACCCAAGAACTGGGCTTTAATGTGAGCAAGGGATTCTATCAGGTAAAGAAGGAGGGAGTTCCAGATAGGAGGTAATACCTGTGCAACGGTATGGTGATGAGAGATGGGATATCATGTACTGGAAACAGCCAGTATGACCAGAATACAAGGTGATGAAGGGGAGTGATATGAAATAAGATGGGAAAGGTGGGAGCCTTTATGGGTTTTAACTGTCAAGATAAGGATTTTCTATTTTGTCCTAAAGGCAACAGGGAGACATGGAAGATTTTTGAGGAGGAGGATGGCATAGTCAGATCTATGTTTTAGAAATCTCACCTTGGCACCTGTGTAGAGGATGACCTGATGAGGAAAGAGATTGAAGGCAAGGAGTGACTGGGAGAATTTTGCCATGGCAGCAGGTGGTTTCTGTCTAAGGACTTGGCTCTAGTCCCTGTTACACACTGATGCCAGTCTGGCATACCAGGTTTAAGTCCAACTCTCTGTACAACAGGTTGGGACTGGATAGGGCTCCAGCCAAGCTGACTCAATTGGGGTAGATATGGAAAAGTTGATATTGTAGGACCCAGTCAACTGTAAGAACAGGGAAGAGGGGACAGTGGAAATTCCTTCTAAATAGAATCCCTCAAAAGGCAAGCCTCTTCTTAATTAGAAGCTACTTTTCTGACACTTCAGGCACTATCAACAAGTTTCTACTCTAATGAGACATTCTGGAACAAGTGGGTGATGTTGATATACGCAGTATTTGATAAGATAACATCCCCAGAGACATTTTTCCATCATAAGGTGACTTTGATGGTTCCCATTTCTTTTCTCAAGAGGGTCCCAAGGAATAGGCTACTAATTTTTTTTTTCTATTGGTCCCACCTACTCATCCACTGGACCTAATGCAGAGCAGGATGAAGTTTGCCAACTCTGTCCTACCCTGTTGTGTCCAAAGCAAGCACAAAGCCTGCCTTAGATTTCCTTTCTCCCTCAATTTACTCTTCTCTCCTCCTTTCCCTTCCTTGCTTTTTCCTTCCTACCATCTTTGTTTCTTCCTTCTTCTTCCTCCCTTCTTCCTCCCTCCTTTCTTCTTCTCTTCCTTCCCTTTCTTCCCTCCCTTACTTCCAACTGGCTCTTCCCATCTCATCCAAAGGACCTGTATTTGAAATCCAACTTTGTTACTTCTGAGAAACCTTCTTATATAATGGACAGAGTGCTGGACTTAAAGAAAGAAAGACCTAAATTCAAATCCTGCCTCAGATATTTACTAGCTTTGAGACATACAAGCACTTAACCTGTCTGAACCTTAGTTCTCTCAACTATCAAATGAGGATGACAATAGCATCTATCTCACAGCAATAAGATGGAATATGCATTACAAACCTTAAAGAGATATATAAATGTGAGCTATTATCATTTCTTCTTATCTTTGTGACTTTGATCAAATCACCTCTCCAGCTTTGATATTTATTAGCTATATTAGCATTAGTCAAGTAGCACCTGATGACCTCTAAGGTCTCTTCCCACTAAAGCTCTGATCCTAAGTCACTTCCTTTTCTGAGCCTGTTTCCTCTTCTTCAAAATAGGGAAGCTAATACTTCTGTTTGAGATCTCACAGGGTTCTTGTGAGGAAAGAACTTTGCAAACCTACAATGCCATATAAATGAGAGCTATTGATATCTCTATCTTTTTTTTTCCTGTCCACAGACCCTGTAGAAGATAGACTGGGACAATAGATATTAAGCAACCTCTAATGGGCCCCACAAATGTTCAAACAGCAATTTTGAACATGCCAAATGATGCGGGTGTTTCTGAGGTTGCCACATTAGAGTATAACAACATCTCATTTGCACTCTAACATCATCCCTAGTTCCCATTCAGTAAGTACTGTTTTTCAAATTTTTTTTCTCTTTGATTAAATATTATGGTCCATGTTACTGATTTTCAAGCGGTGTAAGTTCTGGTTTGTCCTTGGCTAAATCTCCTTTTTATTCCTAACAGGGTTTTTTTTTGGTCCCTTGCTGTTTTGATGGCTCCAGTGGTATATTCACAACAAACCTAGCTTTAATAGCATGTGAAAAATGGAATTAGCATGCTATTCATCCACAGGCCCCAATCCTCTGGTACCTGCACGGACACTTCCCCAGATACATTTGCAGTTATCCAATTTCCAATCCGTGATGGTCCTCATAACTCAAGTCAACTTGAATTTATTTTTCAGACACTGTATTTAATAAAATGTTCACTAAAACATAGCTAGAGTACAGTTATTTTTTCTAAGTAATCTTTTATTTCCATCATAAAATATTCTTTCAAAATATCAGTACTTAGAATATCCTATTGCTGACTTTTGAGGAGGTCCTGTCATTTCCTTGAAATGAGATCTTTTTCTTTTAAAATGTATGTCCATTTTTTTAAACTATATACTGACATTAGGTGATATTCTAATCAAAAATTTTCAAAGTAACTTTTTTCTTTGATAATTATGTAAGTTCTGCTCTTCCTTTAGGACGGGGATAGGGAACCTTCGACTTCGAGGCCACATGTGGCCCTCCAGGTCCTCAAGTGCAGCCTTTTGACTGAGTCCAAGTTTTACAGATCAAATCCTTTTATTAAAGAGATTTGTTCTGTGAAGTTTGGATTTAGTCAAAGGGCTGCACTTAAGGACCTGGAGGGCCACATGTGTCCTCAAAGCTGCAGGTTCCCCACCCCTTCCCTAGGATCTAGGAAAGGCACAGATGATAATGATGATAGTAACAATGGCTCACATTTATGTAATACAGCTGACAAAGTGCTTTACTGGTGCAGGTATTAATATATCCCCACTTTGCAGATGAAGAAACCAGTTCTCAGACTGATGAAGTGACTTGTCCATTGCCACATGGATAATAACTGGCTGAAACAATACTTGATTCCAGGTCTTCTGAGTCCAAGTCACTGTTCTTTCCAGTTATATCATGCTACCTTTCCAATCAACTCAGCAAAACTCTTCCATATTCTTTTCCAGACCTCAATTATGCCATATGCTGGTGTCTGGGGAAGAGACAGTGACTGCTGCCCACTGAACTTGGCAGCTTCCCTCTCTAACCCAGGCTTATTTATCTTGGAGGTAAAATGGGGAAACCCATTGTGAAACTGTAGGGACTAATTCCTATGCACCTTGGGGACCTTGGGAGTGAAATAGGGTGAATAAAGTCTATTCAATGACAAGTTTTAAATGGAAATATTTTGTGATGAAAATGAGAAACTAGCAAGAAAAAAAGAACTGTATTCTCTTTAGATCACAGGTGATCATTATAATTGCTTCATTGAAAAGAAGTCATTCATTCATCCCTCAAGCATTTATTAAGCATTAGCTATGTTCCAAGCATTGTACTCTGGGGATCCAAAAGCCAAAACAAATCAGTCCCTGCATTCTGAGAACTTTTATTTTATTGAGAGAAAACAAGTGAACACAGATAAATACAATTGAAATATATATAAGGTAAATGCAATAGAATTTCGGGGGGGGGCCAGGAGGGCACTAGCAAGTGGATGGAATTCAAGATTGGTTTCTGTTGGAGGTAGTATTGGAGCTAAGCTTTGAAGGAAGTGAGGGATTCTAAGAGGGGAGAAGAGGGTACATGCCAGGCATAGGGTCAGCCTGTTTGAAGACATAAAGACTCTATCTGATGGGGCTTGTTTTTGCTGCAGTAGCAGAGGTAGAATACTGTATTTGGGGAGCAGTGAGTAGGCCACTGGGATGGAATTCAGAGTGCATAAAGGTCAATCCAAAAAGATTTATTGAAAAGAGCCAGAATATGAAGGGTTTTAAATGCAAAAAGGAGGAGTTTGCAATTTATACTAGAGGCAACGTGGGAACTTCTGGAGTAAGGGAATGACATAGTTGGCCTTGTGCTTTAGGAATATCAATTTTGCAGCTGGTGGAGGATGGATTCAGGGAGGGAAAAAGACTTGAAGCAAGGAAACTGAAGAGGAGGCAGTGCCCCTCCAGGTGACAAGCCATGAGGGTCTGAACTAGGGTGATTGTTACATGAATGGAGAGAAAAAGATGGATGCAAAGGATGTTGTAGAGGTAGAATCAACAAAATCTGGCAACTGATGGGATATGGAGGCTGAAGAAGGGTGAGGAGTTGAGTATGACTCCAAGGTTACAAGACTGGGAGACTGGAAGGAAGGTGGCTCCCACAACAGAAACAGAGATCAGGAAAAGGGGAAATTGGGAGAAGAAAGATAATGAATTCTGTTTTTGACATGTTGAAATTGAGATTCTTATCAAGCATCCCATTGGAAATGTTCAATAGGCAGTTGGTAACATGAGATTAGAGCTCAGGGGAAATGAAGTCTAATTATGTCATTTTAAGAGTCAAATGACTAGAGCTGGAAGAGACCTTTAGGGGTATGAATCCAACACTTTCATTTTACAGTTGAGGTAAGTGAGGCAAACAGAGGTAAAGTGACTTGCCCAGGTTCACACAGCTAGTGTCTGAGATGGTATTGGAACCCAGATCTTTTTTATTCTAAGTCCAAGACTCTCCACTACTCTATCAGGCAGAATTCATTGAGATCAGCAAGAGAAATAGTTTTGAGAGAGAGAGGAGAAAAGGGCTCAAGACAGAGCCCTGGGCTACAACTACGACCAGAAGTAGGATCTGGATGATAATCTAGCAAAAGACACTGAGAAGGATAAGCCAGATACATAAAAGAAGAACCAGGTCAGAGCAGTGTCAGGAAAACCAAGGGAGTAGGGGTATCCTGGAGGAGTGTTAAATGTTGCACAAAGGTGAAAAAGAATGAGGACTGAAATTGGATTGAGCAATTAAGAGATCACTGATAAATCTGGAAAGACTAGTTTCTGTTGAGTGATGAGGTCAAAAGCTGGATTGTAAGCGGTTGAAAAGAGGAAAGGAAATGTAGGCAATGAGTGCAAATGTCCATCCCAACACTGCCCCCCCCCATGGGTTATAAAAAAGAAAAAGAGATGTAGGATGATAACTTGAGTTGATGAAAAAGTTAATTAATGGTGAGATAGAGGGTGGTGGGAAGATTACAGGAACAAGCTATGTATTTTTATACACTATCTTGTTTTTTTCCATTTATCAGACTAATGTTACCAGTAACATTTAATGTTAAATACTAGTAACATTTAATTTAGCAACATAGTAATGTTATTAGTAACTAGGGCTACTAGATTAATGGCATAGTAGTCAAGTAGAACCTGTGGAAACACAATATTAGGCCATTAGATCAAAGAACACTATGGGCAGAGTATAACCGGATTTCATCAAGACAGTTGACAATGTCTCATAATATCCTTGTGGATAAGACAGACAGAATTGGATGATTGTACAGTTAGCTGGGTTCAGAAATGACTGACAACACTCAAAGGGTCTTGATCAATATTTCAATGTCACCCAGAAAAGAGACTTTAGTAGAATCTCTCTAAGGTTCTGTCCTGAATTAGATGAAGGTAATAATTGTGCCATAAGCATCTGTTGAAGGAACTAGGAATGTGTAGTCTGGAGGAGAGAAGGCCTTGGAGTTGTGGGGAATGATAGCTCTTTTCAAATACCAGAAAAGATGGCCTGTGGAAATGGAGTCTGAACCATCTCTATTGCAACCAGGTATTATAATGGTTCAGAGCTTATCACCTCATATCACATTTGTCATTGTCACAGACTATTTGTTCTGCATGGCCTCAGGGGACAGAACTAGGGATGGGTGGAAACCAAAGAGAGTTAGATTTGACTTAACACAACTAGCAAATACAAATCCTTACCACCGTGGCAGGACTGTGTCCCTTCTGGTTAGCTGTCACTGGCGTATCCTTGAGGAACAATTATTTCTCCCATCTCTCCCCCTATTTTATTTCTGATGCTTTCTCCAGCATTGGAGAGGCCTCAAGGTAATTTGCATGATCCTGGCTCAGTTGCCATGGAGTAAAACAGGTAATAAACAGGGAGGAGCAAATTAGGAACACCAGCAACACTCAACATTCAGCAAGAGATACAGATCTTGTGGGAAACACCTTGCTGGGGTGGGGGATGGGGGGGATCACGCTTGGGACTAATTCATTCTAGCTGGATTAAGAGTCTGAAATGGGGACTTTGGGCGGAGCAGGGAAAGTAGACAGTTCTATCAACTGCCTGAAGAGGCCCCTTCACTCAACAGGTGAGATCCGAGTGAAAGAGTAGAAAGTTATAAATGGCACAGAGGTATTCGCACCCTGGTCTTGCCTGAAGGAGCTGAAAAGTTTCCAAATAGCCTAAAGACATTTTTGTCTTGGATATTTTATTTCATAAGTATAATCCCTCCACATGCCAGCTGTGTTAGAGCTGGCACCATCACTGAGGGAAGACAGCAAACAGCAGGAAGCAGCTACAGGAAGTAACAAGAGACACAACACTAAACAACCCGAGCCGTGGTGGTGATCAGTCACAGGAAGATGGAGAACAGTGATGTGATGAGCCATGACATCCCCGAGAATGGATGATCATGGCGGTGACGTTAAAAATAAAGGGAGGGGATGATAGAAATCCCCTCTCCTTCTCCTTGTCATGCCCTTTCCTCTCCCTTCTCTTTTCCTTCTTCCTCTCTCTCCCTTCCCCTCTTCCTCTCTCTCCCTTCCCCTCTTCCTCTCCTTCCTTCATTCCCTTTCTCCCTCTATGTGTGTGCCTTTCCCTGTTTTTCTGTCTTTCTCCTCTCTCCTTCATCCTCCTCTTTTCTCTCTCTCCCTCTCTTTCCCTCTCCTTTTATATGTGACCCCTCCTCCCTCCCCACCTCTTTCTCCTTTCTTTCTCCCTTCCCTCATCTTCCTCAGTAGCCATTGGGTCATCTGAAAATAATTTGAAAGTTATCTTTTTACGACCTGGGGAAAGCACTAGAACCAAAGTGGGGGAGGGGCTAACAGTTCTCCTACAAAGGGACCGGTGACAAAGAAATGGGGAGGGACAACATTGCAACAGTGGTAGAAAATCGTGTCTCTCTATGACAAGAAAGAAGTATGAACACAGCTACAGATATGAAAAAAATGGAATGAGATGCTTCAAGAAATAGTGAATTCCCTTATCACTAGAGGTCTTCAAACAGTGACTGGATGACTACTTAATGGGATTATTATAGACACAACTTGTAGTTTGGGGAGGGATTGGACCAGATCTCAAAGGTCGCTTCCAACTCTAATTCTATGATTCTCTGAACATCTTACCAAATGCAGAGCCTGAAAAGATCATGTAGTGTTGGGAAAGAGCAAACCATGCCAGAAAAAAGCAAATCATGCCAGTGCTAGAAGAGAAGGATTCCCTCAAAAGGCCTCCCAGGACTTTTGGCCACTGATTTCCAGCTATGGAGGATGAAATGAGAGGTGCTTTTTTTCCACACAATCCTTTCTCTATTTCATTTTCCTTGGCTTTCCAAATGTAATTCCACTTCTTACTAAGAACTTGATTGATTTTCTTCTGTATTGGGAAATAAGAAATCCAGGCACATGGTTCCTAATCCCTGAAGGCCAGCTTGGTCCTGACCCAGCCTCATGGTCAGGCAATTGGGCTAGGAGGCAGAAGGGGAATGCTGATAGAGGAAAATATCCCTCTGCAGCTTTCACCATAGCAGGAGCAGCTGAAAAAATGGAGCTGCTAATTGGGCCAGTGCTTCTCTTAGGCTACCAAGAGGTGAAGAGAGAACATGGTGTGCTGGAGAAGGAGAGCTGGCCTTAGGATGAGGAAGACCTGGGTTCAAGTCTCACTGTGTTGTACACTTGGAGGGTGAAGCGACTTCCCACTGGCTTGGAGACTTCTGAATCGCTAGGTTGCCTAAGTGTGAAGATGCTTGGAGGAGAGAGGAAAAATTCAGATAGAACAACAGACAAAGAATTACTTCTAAGTAAATGGGTAAGAGGCAATGCATGACTTTTGAAAAGCTGATAGGAGCCCCAGAGCCAGACATGTAGGGAAGTCAGCTGCTGGACATGTTGATACCAGTACCTACACCCCCAGAGACGGCTAAGAGCAGGCTTCCCTGGTGAGATCATTCTCCATCTCTCTTCTCTCTCTCCTTCTCCTAAATCTCTTCACAGTTACACAGTAAAAGGGCTCAGAGGTTTCTCAGACAATCAGGAGTCAGTCCACCCTCCACATAAGCAGAACAAAGAATTCCAGGACATTATTCAAGGACTCGCTACTCTCCCCAACCTGGGTCAAGGGAGTATTATTACATAAAGAAGAAATAGAGAGAGGCTGAAAGATATGAGGCAGTTATGTCCATGATAACTGCCCTTGAGCCTCCTTGCCTTACACCATTATTGCGTATGTGTGTGTGTGTGTGTGTGTGTGAGTGTGTGTGTGTGTGTGTGGGCGGGGGTGTGGACATGTGTGCTGTCTGTTTTCAGGATTGTCTGTATTGGTCAGGATTCCTGCTGCTCCAGTATTCCCACACACTGTGAACCAGTATGAGAAGCAAGTAATGATGAATCAGGGGACTCATAGCTGGTCTAGCATGGCTGGTCTGAGTTAAACCAATGGAGCATATTTCTCGCTTCCGAGACCAGTGGTCTCCAATCTTTTTTGATATACATGTATTACGGTACTAGTAATTATGTATGTTATAAAAACATAGGCCAAAAAATCAAAAGAGGATGAGGTTAAAAAAAAAAAAGAAATAATATCTGATCTTAGAGTTAATAGGAAGCCACTACAATTTACCTAGTAGTGGAGCAACATGGTTAGAGCCGTGAGTTAGGAAAATTACTCTGGGAGCCCTTTGGAGGATGGATTGGAGAGATGAAAGATGAGGAAGGGTGATCAGTTAGGAGACTGAGGCAATAGTTCAAGTGAAAGGTGATGAGGTTCTGAACGAGAGTGTCCGCTACGTGAGTATAGAAGGGAACATATGAAAGAGATGTTCTAGAGAAAGAAATTTCAAAATTTGGCAACTAATTGGATATGGGCTGAGAGTAAGAATAAGGAGCCAAGGACAACACTGATTTTGAACCTAGAAAACTAGAAGGCTTGTGGTGCCTTTGATAGAAACAGGGATGTTCAGAAGAAGAGCAGGTTTGGGGAAGAAAGATAATGTAATGAGAAATGTGATTCAGATGGCAATTGAATTGTATGCCTGTTAATACTGGGTGATTCACTCTGCCCACTGAAGAATGACATGGGGGCTGGACTCTTATTCATCAGCCACTGCACTGGTGCAAAAAACCTGCCCCACCAAGGGACACCTGCCACAGCCTCACAGTGACTTAGCAGGCAGGCTGAAAGCACAATGTGGAAGGATGAGGAATTTTTCCTATGCAGTTGCTGGTGTGGGTGTCTGGGAGAAGTTATAAGTGCTCTGAAGGTCCTATGCTTGGTAGAGGACAGTTGAGGGTGAGGGCTTATGTAGCCAGAAGAGGCCTGCAGCAAGAAGGTGTGGGGTGGTAAGTATGGGGCCACAACGATGAAGGTGATGGTGTGTCTGTGTTGAAGACAAGTCCTTCAGTTGGGCATCCCAGAGAGGGTAAGGTGTCATTTCCAATCATGGAATCTTTGGGATCATGCCAAGGCCTCCACTTTAGAGACTATGGTTCTAGAGAAGAGTCTTTAGGGTAAAGGACAATGTAGCACCCTAGAACTGTGGGTCTGGTCCAACACATCACACAACACTCTGGTCCTGAGGACCTTAAGGCATCTGGTTCAATTAGGTGCCGCTTGGTGAGGCCATTATGAGGTGGGAACAATATAGCCTACAGTGACAACTAAAATTGATATATTGCTTTAAGGTTTGCAAAGTATTCTAACTACAAAATAGGTGCTATCCTTATTCCCATATTATAGACAAGAAAACTGAAAGTAGTAAAAAGAGAACTGTACTATAAGTCATAATATTTGGATTCTAATTCAAGTTTTGGTGGTGCAATGTTGGGCAAATCAATTCCCCTTTCTAAACTCCAGTTTTCTCATCAGTAGGAGAAGGTTGAACCAGATGACCTCCAAGTTCCCTTTCCAGCTCTGACAATCTGTTCTTCTGTAGGATGTGGCTGCCTCAAACTGGAAACTCCACCCCCTCCACTGAAGCAACTCACCCCGCACTCAGATCCTCCAGTTGGTTCTGCAATTGCCTCCGTTTCCTGGGATTCTTCTAAACTGGGGAATACCCTCCCTGCAGCCACGCCAGTCCAGATCCACACCCTGAGCCAGGTACCTCACTTGGCTCTTTGATCCTCACTGCTCATTACCCAGAGAAGTAGAGAGTGAGTCTCCTGCTGACTGGCAGATGTGTAAACATTCCTGCAGCTTTTTCATGCCCTTTACAATCATTTGCTATATTTAAGCTATCGTCACTTCCTAAACTTCTTAACTTCCTTATTTTTCCTGTTGAAGCAGACAAAACACTCAGAAGCTTAGCTATTTTCAAATCATCACTAATTGCATCTCCTGTCTTTTCAAGTAGTATATTTTCTTTCTAGTGTTTATTTTCTTCCAGACACATTTATAAAATTCCATCTTACTCCTACTTGCCCTTTTGGTCTCATTTAACCATCTGGTTGGTGTGTATATCTGGGTTTCTTTTTCTTGTAGCCTTAGTATATTGTCATTTTCTTGACTAAAGAGGAAATATCAGCAGAAGACACTCTTAGAGTGTTGGACTTGAAATCAAAAGGCGGGGGTTAGAGTGGGAAAACTGTGAAACCAGGGAAGGTGCTCACCTTCTCTGCAGCCTGATTGTCTCATCTGAAGAATGGGAATAACAGTACTCATGCAGCCACTCCACATGGTTTATGTGAGGTGAAAATCTCCAAGTGCTATAGAAATACCCATTATTATGATTTCTCCACTCTGTCCTCACAGGACTAGGATGAAGGCTCCTTTTGTCTATTGTCCTTTTTCAGAGGAACCAAAGTGTCCTAAAAGACTTATTTAAAGAAAGAAATGGACTGAGTTATGAAAACTATGGAAAGAGTTTTAGGGGGAAGGAGTTTTTGGTACAGAACTTTCCTCTCAAAGGCCCTGATCTACAGTGAGCTTGGGATGAAACTAAGTGAACATTTTGTCCAACATTTTCACATGCAAAGGTATGACCAATTCATTCCATTTTTTCCCCTCATCTTCAAAAATTAGAAAGGTCCTTTACCTGACAGCACAGTGAAGACAGCAGCAAAGGCGTTGAGCTTGAGCCCATCTATGACGTTACTGGAGTGGAAGAGCTCTAGACACATGAGACTGAATCCGACGACTAAGAGAAGGATGTATAACACTTCTGAAACCACAGACAACCAAAGCACACCTGCAACATACAAGGACAGAAGAACAAGCCTCTTCAGTGACCTCCTCTCCCACAACTGGAATATTAAGAGCATGGAATCTTGGCCACCCAGGACCTCCTCCTTCCCTCTAAACTCCCTTCCCACTCTGAATCCTCCTAACCCTCTCATGTTACCAAAGCAGAACCTGAATCCCAGAGAGATGAAACTTATATTGCTAGAATGTAAGCTCCTTGAGGGCAGGCACTATTTTTTAAAATCTTTTTTTAATTTTAGACTTAAATACATTATGCAAAAAAGAAACATTATAAACATATATAAAAAAGAAACGAAAAAACGTATCGTGTACAGCAGAATATAAGACAGGATTCAAAACATGTATCAATAAATTTCCATCTCAAGAAAGCCTATATAATAAATTCTATATATTGTGTTGAGAGCTGTCCATCTTTTCTTTACTTCTTTGTAGGTTTTCTTTTGTTCTCTGCTATGCACTTTTTACTTTGTTCTTTTTCCGCCTTCTTTCCCTGCCCCCACAAGAAGGCTACAATTAAGCATGGATATATGTATATATAGATATAGATATATACATACATGTATACATGCATACATATATAAACATATGCTTTTCCTAACAGATTCTACTCCTAATCTTTTTTTTATGTTTGTGCATATCTCTTACTTCCTATCCCTCCTGACTTCTCTGCTTTACCTGCTACCTTGCCCTCCTACTACTTAACCTGCCCCACCTCCAACAATCCCTCCCTTATCCTTCCATTCCCATAAATCTAAACACCCTATTATATGGTCCTTTCACCTATTCCCTCACCCTCCCCTCTAAAGATCTCTCCCTTATCCTCTCGCCCCTCCCTATCCCCTTAGCATTTTATTTCTTTCCAAATTTAGAATGCTTTTATACTCTTCTAGATGTACATGTATCGTTCCCTCTTGAACCCATTCCAGATGAAAGTAGGTTTCCAGAACTAACAGCCCTCCTGCCCCATCTAATTTCTCTGTACTGGTTCTTCCTCTCATTTGTATAAGATAATTACTCTTTTTAGCTGTTCCTAAACAGTTTTAGTTTTTGAAATTATATCATGCTCAGATCTACCAAAATCTTTCTTATGAACTACTCAATTACTAATAACAATCTTAGACATATGTTTTACATACATAAAAAGTAAACAGTCTGTCTCTATTAAATCCCTTGTAATTGATCTTTGGTACGTACCTTACATTTCTCTTGGCTCTTATATGTCAAATCTTTTATTAAGTTCAAAGTTTCGTTTTTTTAACAAAGTCCTGAAAGTCTGACAATTCATTAAATATCCATTGTTTTTTTAATTCAGAATTATGCTTAGCTTTGCTGAGTATGATCTTTTCAGCCTGAAGCCCAGTTCTTTTGCTATTGATATATAGTGTTCCAAGACCTGTGGTCTTTTAGTGTCATCACTGCTAGGTCTTGTGTGATTCTAATTGTGGCATCATCATATATAAATTGTTTTCTTCTTTTTGATCATAATATTTTATCCTTCAGCTGAGGGTTTCAGAATTTGACTATAATATTCCTGTGGGTTTTCCTCATAGGATCTCTTTCAGGTGGTGATAGATGGATTTTTTTCTATTTCTACTTTCCCCTCTTGTTCTAATGCTTCAGGACAATTTTCTTTAATTATTTCTTGTATTATTGTATCAAAGATTCTTTTTTTGATCATAACTTTCAGGTAGTCCAATATCCTTATGTTTTCTCTTCTTGATCTGTTCTCCAGATCAGTTGTTTTTCTTATGAGATGTTTCACATTCTTTTCTATTTTTTTATTCTTTATAATTTGTTTTATTATTTCTTGATCTCTTATAACTTCAATGGCTTCCCCTTGCCTAATTCTGATTTTCAAGGAGTCATTTTTTTCCTTAAGATTCTGGATCTCCTTTTCTATTTGGTTTGCTTTCTTTTCATTATCTTCTTGTTTTTCTTGGATTGTTCTGATTTTTTTTTTTTAGTTTTTTTCCTCAATCTCTCTCATTTGATTTTGAAAGTCTTTTTAAGTTCTTCTATGAATTCTTTTTGGGCAGGTCACCATTTGACATTACTCTTTGGGGCAGATGGTTTCTTTGCTTCAGTATCCTCCTCTGAAGATAAACCCTGGCCTTCTCTATTCCCATAGTTACTCTCTGTGTTTGGATTCTTTCTCCTTTGCCTGCACTTTTTTTTTTTTTTGGTAATAGTTTAATTTTTATAATCACCTCTAGTCCTGGGGTATGGAGGATGATGCCTCTGGCCTCAGACCCTCCTTCAGTTCTAACCCCTAAACCAAGACTGCCAGCCTCCTATAAATGTCCACAATCAGTGGCATAACTGCCCCACTGCTTCTACACTCATTGGGTGTTAGCTGGTTCCTTCTCACCCTGACTCATCTCTGCAGCACAGCTGGGTCTGGCATTCTTTGTCAGCAGAGGTTCCCTTGATCTTCCCGTTCAGATGCCCATTTCCCTCACTTATCCCAGGGGTAAAAATTCCTGTGGCTGAGGCCTGGGGCCAAGACAACCTCCCAACTCAGCTAACCCCAGGGCTTACTGCTTGTTTAAGCAGTCCCTAGCCTGGAGGTGTCTACTCTTCACAGGTACAAAACCTCATTCTGGGATTTTACTTCAGATCTTCTCTACTGTCCCAGGAGGACCACTGTTCTGCCCCTACTCTTCTTTATTTTCACTGCTCTACGTTTACCCTGAGGCACTATTTTATTTCTTTAGTGGAGGAAATCTTGAGAGGTTGGAATTTTCTGACCTACTCCACTGTCTTCCCAGAATCCTATCCATAGGCACCATTTCATCTTTTTATCCCCAAAGCCTAGCATATTGCCTGGCACATAGCAGGTGCTCAATCAATGTTTGCAAAATTGAATCAAAAGTAACTTGTCCAAGGTTAGTGACCAGGTCTCCAGAATTCCAAGTCAACATTCTCACAACTATGATCATGCTCCTTTGCAAGCTTCACATCCCATAGGAAGCAATGGCAAAGCGAAGCCCCTTTTAGACTCTGAAGGGCCCACATTTTAAGTACTTAAGGTATCAGCAAAGTGGACAACTTAGGTAGCAGAGACCTACCCTTTGTCCCCTGCCTCTCTCTCTTCTTTTTGCCACACATTCACCTACATGCAAGAAAGGAAGACTCCTCAGAGCTCTTTGGTGTATAGCTATTAACTGCTTTGTAACCAAGCCTTCAGAGAATGAAAATGGGAAGCATATGGAATAATTGACCCATCAGGAAACATTTATTAGGCACCTACAATGTTCCAGGCACTGTGCCAGGTGCTGAAGATATAAATTCAAAGAATGAAATAATCCTTACCCTCAAGGAGCTTACATTCTATTTAGAGAGACAGTAAGTACATATATAAGTATGTACAGAATAAAGACTAATCAATCAATCATCAACCAATATTTATTAAATGTTGATTATGTGCCAAGTACTGTCTGTAATCAGTGCCAGGGATACAGAAAGAGGCAAAAGACAGTCCTTGCCCTCAAGGAGCTTATAATCTAAGAATAAATACATATTAGTGAATATGAGATGGTTAGGGAAGGGAGGCACTAGAAGGTGGGGGATACAAGAGGGTACATGGGGTACATTAAGCCTTTAGATTTAAGCTAGGGTGAGGTCTCTGAATTAGGGGCCCAACTCCTAGATAGAGCCTAAGGACATTAGGTAACTCAAATGGTATTGTCCTTGTTCTAAGGAGCTTAGCAACAGGGGCTGAGAATGTTTTGCCAAGAAAATGGAAGTCCTCAATAGTATTGGAGACTCTGAGAGAACAGGGAGGAAGCTTCTGCTAATCTTAGGGGAAGAGTCTTTCTGACAATAGTTTTTGTTAACTGAATAAAGCCTATAGGTTTTAAGTTAAGAAAGGCTGGCAGCAACCTAGCTGGGGGTTTCAGCTGAACCAGAACCTGAAGGCAAACAAAGTGTGTCTAGTAGAGATATATCCAGCAGCAAACACACCTGTCTGTCAGAGACTATGTGACCAGTGTTAATATGAGCAGCATGGCGGCATTACTGGTGTTCCTTCAGTTCATGAGGTATGAGTTGTCCCTCATACATGGATGTCCTGGCTCCCTAGGTATGTCCCTAGGTATTTATCCTGGCCTCACGTTTTCCACATGTGTTCTCTCTATGTGTCAATTCTCCTCATTTATGCTGTGTGTATTTGTGGGAGAGTGCCTCCAGCAGCCAGGTGGTGCAATGGACAGAACTCTGGGCCTACAGTCAGGAATACTACAGTTCAGATCTGGCCACAGGCATCTACTAGCTGTGTGAGTGTCACTTCCCCTCTATTTGTCCCTATTTCTTCACTAGTAAAATGGGGATAATAACAGCATGTATCTCAAAGGGTTGTGTGAGGATCAAATGAGATAATATATTTAATGCAGTATCTGGCACATAGTAGGCTCTTTATAAATGCTTATTCCTTACCCTTTCTTCATTCCCCTACTTTTCTCCTTTCACCCTTATTATTCCATTTCATTAAATGACTTTGCTTTGAACCATGTTCTTTGGCTTGCTATTAAGGATAATCATGTTGGCAGGGACTCCTGAGTTACAATTTTAAGTGTATGTGCCCACAGAGAACATTGGAGGACCTGGAATAAACAGAGGAAGAAGAATCCAGATCCTAAAGCATGTTCTGTGGAGAAGATGCCTCACACGCTCCCAGTCGGCTCAGGAATTTAATGTCCCAACGTTGAAGAGGTGGGATATCACAATCCAAATACGTCGTGCTCTGAAGCTCCCTTCTTTTCATCCATGGACATCCTGTATGACCTAGCAAATGTGGACTGAATGTGTCCAAGGGCCAGGAGCACCAACACTTCTACCCAGTCTGTTAGAGTCAGCCTATATCTCAGAAACCTTAGCTGCAATTTCCACCATGTTGAGGGATTTTAAGTCACAGGAAAAATGATTTTTTTTGTGTGTGTGCATATAAAAATATCACATCTCCTGGGCACTTCCCTGGATTTCTGCACT